AATAGGGTCTTCAAAGGCATTGCCTACTACCCTAAATATACTGAACTATATTATTTAGCTAGTCGGGGAGGATCCTCACGCAAATTTCACCGTCCTCTGGCATCTCTGCGACAGAGCTGAGTAGTCTTGCAGAAGTCTTCCAGTAGAGATAGGGGATGCTTTTAACATTATGTGTTAGTGTTCAGAAGGGCTCTCGGAGGTATAAATGTTTAACCAATTGATACATTTTTGTGCTGCAGCCCTCACGTCCAAACAAACGCGTCAGATGAGTGTGCTTCCACATCGTGCCCCAATCCGACGGCCATATTTGTCGGTCGGCTTAATCCGGCGACTACAGCAGCTGATCTCCAAGCTCACTTTTCAATTTGGCAGTGTGTCACACGCCAAAGTAGCGACTCATTGGATCACAGGGCTATCCCGCGGCTTCGGGTTTGTTAAATTCACGGATAAAGCGGCTTTTGATAATGGTGTTCTGGAAGCCTGCCACAACATCAACGGCTCTGAAATCGAAGTCAAGCCGGCGATGCCTGAAAGCCTATCGCGTTTCTTTGGATTCTAATCGCAAACGAATTCTCATAAATGTGGCTTTTGTTTCCTCGGTTTTCTTTTACTGTTAGTTGTCATCCACTATCAATATGACTATCATCCGCACTATCTTTAATTGTCTCATGGTCTTCGTTTAAAGACAGATTCTGCTCTAATACGTCGGCTTCTGATAAACACACATTTTGAAAGGCCAAAAAGAAGTCTGGTGGTCAGAGAATAGCCATTCATAATTTATGTCCCACAGGTGGCCGCAAAAAGAAAAAACCAAAGGGCGCCCCTGTCATTGTGCCGGTTCCCTTCATCTTTGTCTGGCCCCCTGCGAACTTACGCCTGCCGATAATGATAATGAAGACAAGATGTTACGCGTACGTTTATTGCAACCTATTTGCCCGTGATTTTAAATAGGGGGCAGGGAAGGGGGAAATTAGCAGCGTCTCATTCGCGTCGCTGTAATGCGATTCGGCATGTCTGAACAGCTATCGAGGAGGGCTAAGGCTAAGAAGGTTAAACCCTTACGGCTGTGATTTTCCAGGCCCGGCTCCTTTGGAGGTAGGAGTGAAGTCATGGGAGGGCCAGAGTAGTAGAAAGAATATGTTCTTTACAGAATGAATGGGAGAATAGTTGTAGGAAATTGACTATCAGATGACCGCACAACTGCAAGCCAGTGGACGACGTCTGAAGAGAGATCTGCTCGGCGGTCGTCCTGTGAGGATCTATGTGAGTCGGTCTGTGGCTGGCTGTTACAAATACCGAAAAACAGCAAGCTCTTCAAAAGTTGCACTTCGACTTGAGCCAATCACGTTAAGCGTTCATACGTGCACTTCGTGTGGAGCTACTCACTGCACAGCTGTGCTAGGTTTGTCTTCAACCAGGGGACCCTCAGGCCCGCATTAACAATTTGTGCCGGCAGAGAGTTATGTTGACTAGCCGGATAGCCACAACTTATACCTGCGCTGTACGCCAATCTCAACGTTGATCCCACGATTGTCAATGTGTAGACCACAGATTTATAGTGCAGGGACAGTGACTTGCAATTGTACAACTTTTTGCTGAAAGTAGACTTGCTTTGCATCTATCACACACTCTTATCTCTTATACACCGTAAATCGTGGTCAGAAGAAACCCCAGAACATTCAAAGTCAGTTTCCAAGCCAACAGCATAGAAATGCACGGTTTGTCGCTTTCTCAGACACTTTCGTCTGTATGTACCTACAACCTTTGCGAGAGACGAGTTCATCGAGGAAGGCCAGGTGGTTGTGCCCTTTCCCCTCCATCGCAAATTGAACGTCCGGGAAGACACGCACAGTTTTGACTTGTGATGTTAAATGACCACCGATTCCAACCATCATAGGTCCGCCTCGGGTATGAGTCCCGAATTCCCTAGAATAGTTGGTGTTCCATCCACCTGCTTATAGATCGTTCCGTCAAACGTCAAGTACGTCCCGAGAGAGACTTAAAGGAACTGTAGGCTTTGGGCATATCTGACGCAATTCTATATCTCAGCGAAATGATGCCGATTCTCAAGCTGTGGCTCATTTGACGAGACGGGAGCACACATTCAAGTTTAATAAGGCCGACATTCTAGTAAGAGGTGACGATCGTGTGGGCTGATAATTACTTGAGTCATGGTTCACGGCCCCCCAGTACAAAAACAAGTGCAACGACTTGCTTAATCAATATTTAGTGCTGAGGCTCAATTTGGCCAGTGCAAGTCACCACTTGTAGAACGCACAGGCCACTGCCTCGTC